TGTGTCTCGGGGCTTTATCCCTGTGGAAAATTGAACTAAGCTTATGTTCTTCCTTGTTTTTTAAAAAAAAAAAAAAATTAAAAATCCCCTTTTTTTAAAAAAAAAAAAAATTAAAAAAATCCCCTTTTTCTCTTCCACTGTCCTTGCTGGGTTTGGGAGCCCGGCAGAAAGGTGATGCCTGGTGAGGAGGGGGCTCCTCCCGCCCCCGGGGTGTGGGGTCCGGGCTGTGCTGGGGGGGTTTAGGCTGGGAGGACCGCAATGCATTTCCAGCACACGCTTTTCCCCCCCTCGTGTGATGCTGGCTTGGGTAAATGAGGGAAAATGGAAATGTTGGCCAGAGATGGGCGAAACCGCTCCTGGGAATTGGAAGTTGAGGCCGGCAGAGGTTAGGAGGTATAGCCTCCTCTGCCCAGGGGATTTACACCCTTATCTCCGCTCACTACCTGAAAAGCGAGAGACCTTTCACTCCCGGAGCGGAAAAAGCCTAATTTAGGAGCAGCTTAGTGCTTGTGGAGGAGGAAAGGTTTTTGCCGTGGAGCCGGGCTGGCGCAGCCCCAGCTGCGTCTCTCCCAAAGGGTGGCGGCTGCGTCTTGCACCGAGCTGGCACAGTCACCGGCCGAAGTGCATCCCTCTAAGAGCCCTTTGAGTTTTACCGAGTCTCCTGTCGGTAGGTTATGGGGAGGGGGCTGTGGCATATCGTCCCCGTCCTGGTGCTCCTTCCATGGGCTGAGACGAGCATGGGTGGTGCAGGAGCACGGGGTGGTCTGAACGGTTGGACTCGATGATCTTAAGGGTCTTTTCCAACCTAAATGATTCTATGAAATAGCATTCCCAAAAATGTTTCCCTCGGAGCCCTCTCCAAAGCCCCTGGGGAGGACGCCCTGATGGGTGAGGAGATGCTTCCCATGGGGATGGTTCTTGTCCTGCGGCCATGGCTGGTCTTGGGCGAGCACCGCCGGTGTAAGGCCAAGGGTAACCGTCCTGATTTCACTCTGGGATGCTGCAATGCAAACGGGTGGGTGTAGGAGGTTGGTGAGGACTGGGCTGTGACCCCCGCCACGGCAGCAAGTCTCTTATGTGGTGCCCATGGCCGACCTCGTCCTGCACCCCTGCTCTCGCCCATGCAGCAAGGGCGGTATTTGACCCTCTTTTTGCACAAGCAGCCCCAAACGGGGCTTGGTTTGCACAGCAGGGAGGGGTTTGCTCCATGCCCCACTGGCACCCTGGGTGTCTTGTCCCCAAATTGGTGGTCGTGGCCTCAGGGCTGCTTTGGAGTGGCCAAGAGGAGTTTGCAGAGAAGCAGAGGAACTGCGTCGCATCTTGGGATGTTGATGCAGCTCGTTGTTTGTGCCCTCTGCCGCTTGCAGGACCCGTCCTCCTCCGGCTTTTGGAGTATTTACCGCTGCCTTTGCTGGAGGACGGGGTCGGGGTTTGCTCCCTGGGTGCACCACCTGACCGTGCACGGTGCTGGGATGCCCGCTGCCAGTCGGGGGCAAAACCAGGGGGAAGCCAGCAAGGCGACAGCCGTGTCCTCTGCAAGCCAGCCACGTGCTTGCCCTGGCCCTGCAGCTCCTCCTGGGCTCCCCATGGACGCTGTGAGCCCTGTGGCCGTATCCTGCCCCAGCACTGCTCTCCCACGGAGGGGCAAGCTGCCGTTTCAGCCTGTTCGAGAAGGACTCAAAGCTTGGGGGGGGGGAGCACCGAGCGCTTGTGCACACCCGGGGAGGTGAAGGTGCAGGTTTGCTCTCGGTCCCCCAGCACCCCAGGGTCACCTCAGGGGTCCCTAACAGGTGTGGGACACTGCTGTCCCCAGTTTTGGGGGTGCCTGCAGCAGGATACCCTGTCCCTGTGATCCCCCCCTGCAGCAGGGGATTTGCCAGGGGTGAGGATGCTCCTGCTGGAGCATCCCGCTCCTCTCCTTGGTGGCAGGGAGGCTTCAGTCCCTGCTCCCCCTCTTCTGGGACAGGGAAAGGGGTCGAGGCCACGGCAAGACAGGCAGCCAACCCTTTGCCGGTCACCCAGCCGGATCATGGTGTTTGTGTGTATTTATTAATTTTTTTTTTTTTTTTCCTGAAGAAACAGGGAGAGAAAAATATCTCTCTGTCCAAAATCACTCATCCTTCCTCATAATGAGAGCTGTCACCAGCCCTGCTTGGCGAGGAAATGATGCTCGCAGTAAATATTTGGTCTGGAACTGATTTATGGGTGGAAAAAAATGAGATTAGTGGTTAATCACTGTGTTGCAGGAAGCGCTTTGGGCCAAGTGCCGGGGCCGAGCTCGCGGGGAGCTGGGGCCATGCCCGCGCTGGGGGAGCTGCGCCGGGGGCTTTGGCGGAGACGTCGTGGTTGTGCCGCTGGGTTGGGATCAAGCGGCAACAACGGAGGGGTTGGACCAGCTCTGGGGGACACCAGGCTTCTCCTCACCTTGGTGCTTTGCAGATTTGCTTTAAAGACCGGGGGTTTAGGGTCAGGGGCAGCTCAGGTCCCCCTGGCAGGGCATCGCCCGGGGGGGGCTGCTGGTGCATCGGACCCCCGTGGGCTCCAAGCCAGGAGGGTTGTGCTGTTGGCCCTGGCTGGAGGCAATCATCCGCCCCATCCCCGAGCCCAGCGCACCCAAAGAAGTCATTACAGCCACCCTCAAGGCAGCAGCAGCTTTTCCTGTGCGAGGAAACAATGAGCTTATTAGAGGGCGGTTTAATTTTCTTCTGCTAAAGCGGGCTGGTGAGTGCGGCACGATCATTTCCTATCGACTGGCAGGGCCAGATGCCCCTGGGCGTGACGGGGCCTGGGCATTGCCGGGGCCCGGGGCAGCAGGAGGTGCGTGGCCCCGGGGAGGACGGCTCGCCTGCAGGCAGGAGCGGGTGTCAACCAGAGGTGCACCCGAGTTCGGACGTTACTGGAGCGATGGCAGCAGAGCAGGACCCGGTGCCTGCGGATGAGTGTATAGGTGTTTGCAGGAAAGCAGCTGTCGGACACAAAGAGGAAAGCTTCGAGAGGGAGCCGTGCCTGGGTTTATACTCTCCTGATTTCCACTGTACCAGTGGAAACTCGCGGCGCTGCCCGGCGCTGCCTGGCATTGCGTGCCATTGCACAGCTCTGGTTTGGTTTCAGGGCCAGATGCTCTAGGTTTCCCTCCCGGGCTGCGGCAGGATGGGCTCAGCCGCTGCTGTCGCGGCAGTGCCGTGATTTGCTCGCCTCTCCCTCTGCTCCCGCGTTGGTTTTGCCTTAATTATAACAATATAACAGGAATTGAAGGCAGCAGGTTGAATTAAAGGCTGTAATTCAGTTGTGCATCGGTGCTAACTGTGTCACCTGCGAGAAAACCATCTCCAGCCATTCGTGAGCTGCGCTGCTGGGAGGGCAGGATGGTCCTTGAAGACCGCGAGCTGTCGCACTGCCCGCTCCGTGCTTGGATGGGGATCTCTGCCCCAAACCCTTCAAATCTCCAAAAGGGCTGAGCTGTCTTTCCCGGAGGCTGCTTTGGGGCAGGGCAGATGATGCTCCTCTCTGCCTCGCACTATTGCGATGTGGCCAGGGCGGGAGCGGCTGAGCCAGCAAGGCTTAGCCGTGCCAGGAACCTGCAGCCCAGCCCCTGCGAGCTGCCGGTGTCAGTCTCCGTTGCAAATCTTTCAGGTTTGTGTGCTGCTTTGGGCCCATCTGAGCCACCAAAGCGATGGCTGGTCCTTGTCGCAGTGCAAGGCAGGTGGAAAAATGGGCTGATGAGTGAGGGGTGGGTGTCTTGTACCCCCCTGCTCTGCAGCATTTCATTTCTGATGAACCTTCCCCAGTGCTTAGGGTTGTCCGCACCACGGTCCTGTGCCTCGGTGAGATATTCCCCAGGTTTCTACTGGGGCCACTCACAGCGTTAGCCTTGGGTGACACGCTCTGCTGCAGTCCACCCCTCAGTCATACACAACTGCTTGGGCCCTAAAATGGGTGTAGGTGACGTTAAATGACATTAAAATTGGAGCAGGTGCTGAGTGCTGGTGATCTGGGTGCCAGTGCCTCGCTCCCAGTAGGAGGGAGCCGGGACCAGCGCTGCTGTGCCGCACAGACAGCAGCATCCCTCGAGTTTAGCAGCGTCGCGAGTGCCTAAGTCCGTTGTAGGTGCTGTAGCAAGCGGTCTGAATCTGCTCCGTAATCCCTCCATGCCTCTGTTTCCCCCATTTGAAGCAGGGCTGGTAGTAATGGCCGGTGTTTTGGGATGCGGATGAGCTCTGTGTGATGGCTGCCTCGGAGAGCAAGCCTTACCCTGTGCTGGCAGCCTCTGAGCCGGTATAAAGAGGAGCCGTGACGGGCACAGCAGCACATCCAGTCCTCCTGGCCCCAAATGGGACAAGGCAGTTACCTGGGGTCTTGCGCGAAGATGTTCGAGGGCTCGGACGTTACCGCAAGCAGGCCTTTTAACCATCAGCGAGGTCCACGCAGGCGGGTTTGCGTCGGAAATCTCTCGGATTGATGCACTGAGGGGTGATGCAGCCCTGCGGAGGGCTGGCGGGCAGTAGGTGATTTCGGGGTTGCAATAAGGCCCAGCAAGGCTGGGGGTGATGGGGCTTTTGGACCAACTGACCCTATTCAGCCGGGTTTTGCAGGAGGAAGAGCTCTCGAATGCAACGTGTTCCTTAATGAAATTTGCCTTTTTTTGATGATGGGGAAGGATATAAAGTTCTTGTAGGGATACAGGTCTAATTATCACATAAGCTCACGGGGCCGTGCAACATCTCCCTGCATGAGCAGCCATCCTACGGATGCCACCAGTCCCTCGGTGCATCACCCCCTCCTCCCTGCCTGTGAGCAAATTCCCCCGCCCCCGATTTCTTGCCCTTTACTTTTCTCTCCTTTTTTCTTCTCCTCTTCCTTCCAGAGTCAAGAAGAAGAACAAGCCCTTGAACCTCAAGATCCATAACAGCGTGGGAAGCTGCGAGAACATCCCTGCGCAGCGCTCCCCGCTCCTCTCCGAGCGCTCCCTGCGCTCCTTCTTCGTGGGGTACCCGCCTTTCCTCCCCTCCACCCCTCCTGTCCACACCGAAGCCACCTTCTCAGCAAGTAAGTCCAAGTGGCCCCCTCAGGTCCCCCTTCCATGGGGTGGGTGATGGTTGATACCAAGCAGAGGATGTGACCGTGGGAAACTCGGGGCGTCCGCCTGTGCATCGATGGTCTGGAGGACGTTGGGCGAGTGTTGTGCAGTGAGCACAGCCCTCGGGCAGGTGCCTCGCATCAGCGTTTAGAGATATGTGGGTGCTTCTGGGCAAAGATAAGCCTGGAAACTTGGTTATATATGTCTGTATATATACAAAACCACTGTCATATTGAATATTGGTTTATGCAACCAGATATGCTCCCCTATCGCAATAACACGGGTGCAGGAAGGTGGCCACCGTCATTTGGGAAAGCCGAGAGCCTTTCTGTGCTGCCTGGGTTGGTGCCGCTGGCTGGCTGTCACTTGAGAGTGACTTTTCCAAGGGCTCCTTTTGTAAATCCAGCCGTGGTTTTACCTTCACGCACGGGGGCTGCTTTTCAGACCTCTCCTGCTTGCAGGGTTTTGAGCCGATGCAGAGTCTTGGGTGAAGCCGGCCCCGACGCAGACAGCTCTGGTGCAAACCCAACGGAGCTTGATCCCAGCAGCCGGCCCCGGTCCTGCCTGCGGGTCTGCCCGGGGTGGTTTGCCCTCTTCCAGGAGATGCTGGTGGTGGGACTCGATGGGTGGGTTTGGGTCGATGAGCTCACCCAGCGCGTTGCTGCTGGCTGGGGAGAAACAGCCTGACCCTTACTTCCCGATCTCAGACCGGTGCCCTGACTAATTCTGCAGGAATTGAAGCTTTTACAAGCCAGGCGCGGCACTCAGCCTAAACAAAACCCTCCCAGAAAACACGTGGCAGCTGCTGGGAGCTATTTGCATGCCAAGAGCTGTCGTGGGGAGGGCGAGCTCCCCTTGCCTCTTGTTACTCAGCTAAAAGCTTCCTCCAACTCCATATCCAGGCTGGCTTTTTGCCACCTTCCCCTCCCCAGACTTTTCCCTTGTTTGCTTTCCCAAAACGTGGTCTTTTTGGCTCGTTTTGGGTTCTTCCAGTTGTTCTTACTGCTCAGCTCTTGGCTGAAGAAGGGGTTTGCAGGCAACACCCCTCCCTGCCCATCTAGCTCCCCGGCACCGGCAGGTTTTCCTCCATGCCGTGCTTCTCACCGGGGTGGGAAGTAGCACCAGGACAGCTTCACCGTCCGCCCTGAGCACTGGTTTGCAGGCGCTGGGTGCCGGTGTGATGGGGCAGCTCCTTCGCCCTGCTTGCATCCCCGCAGCCATGCCCCTCCCGGCCCCCTGCAAGGCAAAAACCTCGCGATTTCCTTCTTCTTTCCTTCTTCTTTCCTTCTTCTTTCCTTCTTCTTTCCTTCTTCTTTCCTTCTTCTTTCCTTCTTCTTTCCTTCTTCTTTCCTTCTTCTTTCCTTCTTCTTTCCTTCTTCTTTCCTTCTTCTTTCCTTCTTCTTTCCTTCTTCTTTCCTTCTTCTTTCCTTCTTCTTTCCTTCTTCTTTCCTTCTTCTTTCCTTCTTCTTTCCTTCTTCTTTCCTTCTTCTTTCCTTCTTCTTTCCTTCTTCTTTCCTTCTTCTTTCCTTCTTCTTTCCTTCTTCTTTCCTTCTTCTTTCCTTCTTCTTTCCTTCTTCTTTCCTTCTTCTTTCCTTCTTCTTTCCTTCTTCTTTCCTTCTTCTTTCCTTCTTCTTTCCTTCTTCTTTCCTTCTTCTTTCCTTCTTCTTTCCTTCTTCTTTCCTTCTTCTTTCCTTCTTCTTTCCTTCTTCTTTCCTTCTTCTTTCCTTCTTCTTTCCTTCTTTCTTCTTTCCTCTTTCCTTCTTCTTTCCTTCTTCTTTCCTTCTTCTTTCCTTCTTCTTTCCTTCTTTCTTACCAATCAGCTGCTCTTTGGGATCACTGAAGAATCATCGAGCCATTTCTGGCATCCTTTCGCTCCCCTTTCTTTGGCTTTGGGGACAGTGGGACCTGGCAGGAGCTCTGCGGGCAGGTGATATTATTTCTAGAGATGTCCAACCACCTGACTCTCACTGGCACAGCCAGCAGATTTGCCTGGAGCGAGGGGTATTTTTGCATTGCTCTTTCCCCCGTGGCATCGGCTGAGTTCAACTTGCAGTCCAGAACGATGGGGACTAGCAGACCAGAAACCAAGAAATAAAACCCATTCCCAGCAAACCCCCGCCGTGTCTAGTTGCATTAGGTTTCCTCACGCATCAGCGTTGGATTACATCCCGTGGTGTGATAACCTGATGTAATGTGGCATCGCAGGAATGTGATGCAATGAGAAGTGATGGGCTATCAAGTGACTAACGCTGCTGGAGAGGTGTCTCTTCTCATTTCCCTCGGCCCTCCAACTTTCTTGGCTGCTGTAAATGTTTGTTTTCTGGGCTAGACGTGAGCCGTGGAGAGAGGGGCTTGGTTGCACCAGCTGGTTGATCCCTGCTGAAAGGTTCTAGCATCAGTGAAACCATTTGGTCCTTGCAGGATCAGCGTCCATGCACTCAGCGGCCCTCGCTCCTGGGGACCTGCGGGGAAAATTTGATGCAAGGCAAAAAAAATCCCACTAGACTGTAGTTTTTCTAGCTCTCCTGTGTTTCTGCATCATTTCTGTACCGGTGGCCTTGTCCTCAAGTTGCATCCCGGGTTTCTGTCTGCTTCCAAGTTTGCTTTCCGGTTTGCAACTGTGTGGGAAGAGTGGCCGCATCCTGCGTGTGGCAGCCGGGTGCTGAGCGTGCCCCCGTGGGGAGAGAGATGGGGTTTAATGGAGCTTGACACCAGGGTTTGTTAACTTGTGGAGAGAAGATGAGTTATGCCAAGCGGTGCAGAGGCAGAGTTATTTATAGGGAGGAGTAGATATCTCTGCAGCTTTCTCCATGCCCTGCGTTGCTGTTATGGGACCTGGGTGGTTTCTCCTCGCTCCGGTACACGGTGCTTCGCGTATCCTCAGGTCCCCGGCTCTCCTCTCGCTGCCGTTCTCGCTGGTCCAAAGTACCAGGGCTTGTAGGTCCTATGAGAAGGATCGTGGTTTGGGGCTCGCCTCGCTGGTGTACCAGGGCTTGTAGGTCCTATGAGAAGCGCTGATCGTGGTTTGGGGCTCACACCTCGTCCCATCTCCTGGGGTGTCACTGTTTCTTGTTGCTTTTTGAGTGCAATGGGTTTCCCATGCGCTGCTGGATGAGCTCCATGGGGCTCACCAAGGGTGTGAGCCACTGCATCACGCCCACCCCGCGTCCCAAGGACCTCCCCGTACCAGGGCTTGTAGGTCCTATGAGAAGCGCTGATCGTGGTTTGGGGCTCACACCTCGTCCCATCTCCTGGGGTGTCACTGTTTCTTGTTGCTTTTTGAGTGCAATGGGTTTCCCATGCGCTGCTGGATGAGCTCCATGGGGCTCACCAAGGGTGTGAGCCACTGCATCACGCCCACCCCGCGTCCCAAGGACCTCCCCGTCCCCATCCTTGTGGCACGGATGCAGTTTGGCAGCCAAGTTCTCCACAACATCCCATCCCTATGACCACGGGTACCTAAGCTTTCATAAAACCCCAACAGAAAAATGCCTTTTCCCTTTTTCTCTTGTGGGATCAGCCCAGCAGCACCTGGGATGCTCTGGATTGGTGTGGAATTACTTCCCTAAGCACTGAAACAAAAAAATGTTGCTGTTGTCAAATTGAGATGCGGGAGAGGAGCCCGGCGAGCCCTTGGCGAGACCCCTCTTTCCCCGGCTGTCTCTCGATGGTCTCTTTTCAACAGCCAGCGCGTCTTGCTGCTTGTGGCAGGAGCGTGCTCCCATCTGAATCATCTCTGGTCCTGATTGGATGCGGGTTAGGATGCTTCTTTCTTATTTTTAACAGCCAATTTGCCCTGATGGGAATGGATTTTTGCAGACGTGGAGCGAGAGCATGAGGGCTGGCAGCAAGCTGCGGAAGGACCCTCTTTCTCCTACAGCACAAATCTTGCTGGAGGGGTGAAGTCCCCTTCACGCAGGGCCAGGATCCCTGTGAATTTTGGTTTTGAATTGATTTTTCGTTAGCAGCCCTTGGAGGGGAAGCAGAAGGGGGGAAGTAAAGACTTTTGGGGTGCCCTTGAACTCTAGCTTGGCCCTGAAATAGCCCAGCCCTGTGACTGAGGGACAGAAGATGGTTTGTCTGGCTGCATCCAGGACCCTCTCTTGGTGCATCTGCTCATTCCTGGCGAACAAGTGACCGCCAGGGACGTGTTGTTGCTTTGAATTTAGGACTCGACACCCCGTGACTTGGCTACAGGCACCCAGAAATCAGGTTGGATCTTCTCCTTTTTATTGTAAAGGCTCATGTCTAGTAGGTCCTGTTTGTGTCTCTGTTATCTGGGTGTCGAGGTGGCTGGCATTGCTCCTGGACTGTGGCCTCTGCCTGTCCTCTCCCTGCTGCAAGGCCAGACGGAACACTGTCACCGTGTGCCTTCAGACTGCCTGTCCTCTCCCTGCTGCAAGGCCAGCCGGAGCACTGTCACCGTGTGCCTTCAGGTCACCTGCTTGACGTTCTCCAGCATGGGTCAACAACGTCGTTTCCATCCTGGACTATTTAAAACAAAAAGGGGTGGAAGGGAAGGACAAAAAAAGGCTGCGTGTGACTTTGCTGTGCTAGGACAGAAAAATGAGCACCTGGGCACGTGGCTGTGCGGGGAATGTCCTTGCTGCTGCCCTTCCTCCAGCTGGTGTCCAACCCTGCAGAAGGAAAGGAGCAGCCAGCGCAACCCAATCCAAGACCTTGCGTGTACCAGGAGAGAAAAACCCATCGCCTGTCCCCAGTGGCCCACAAACTGAAGCTGCGTGTGAGGCCTCTTCATGCACGGGTGTTGCTGAACACCTTCCCGCAACACACAGCGGAGAGGCTTTTTCTGTGGCCTGGGAGCACGACAAGAGCCATGGAGCATCCCCTGGTACATGGAGTTATGAGCAGTGACCCCTCAAAGCTTTTGTCTTGTCCCTGGAGAGCCTATCAGGGCTGTTTTAATGTGGTCTCCAGTGATGCCCACCTCCCCTCTGCATCAGCCCAG